TCTCTACTAGATTATTGCACAGAGTTAGAGCTCCAGTATTAAAAGTAAATTCTTTTTTTTTTCAATATGGAACTTTATCCTCCTAGAACATGCAAGCTTAGAGCCAGAAATTATAGAAATGAAGATGCACTTATATTCTTTATAAATAATTCCATATTAAGATGTAAACGCTCGTCTGTACGGAGTCTTTTTGTTTATTGCTGTTCACCCATTCCATTTAAAGATGTCCTTAGTGCCTAACTCCTGGTCCTGAACTCTGGAAGTGAAAGGTGAACAAGGCCAACATGAGCCCCGTCTTTGGGGAACTTAATTTTAACCTTGTTTATATCTGACGGAGACTATCTGCCTCCAATTTAATGTAAAAATAAAGATCAAAAGAAGGTGAAAGGGAAATTACAAAAATCAAATTTGTCCACCACTTTTTTAAGTTCAGGTCCATTCTTGGACAGAATGATAATGCTTGAGTTGGTGTTAGAAACACTCGTTTGCTGAGTGTTTCTAAACCACTGTTATGATTTCATAGCCTGTTTACTGTTACCGTGTAGCTGTGACATGTTAGAAGAACAGTTCAGGGAGAAATCTCAAACACTTAAGAAAAGCAATAAAAATCAGTACAGTGTCAAGAAAATGGGTGTTTTGATAATTTTTAGACTCTAGCATATAAACTGCATGACACTTCACAGGGTGGATTAGGAGTCACATAAATTTAGGAGTGTGTGCAATCACTAGGAATGTTTTTCTTTACAAATTGGTAACTTAACATACATTTCTGAAAGATTCAATTAAGTAGCCAGCAGTAGCTTCCATGCCTCCCATCTTCTGTGTGCACAGACCTCTGCGCAGCACATTTTCCATGATATCAACCTTCAAAGTTGGACCAATAAGGACATCTCAGGTGGCCAGATGACTAGCTCTACATGGTCTTCTTGTCAGCCCAGGAGAGTGGCAGGAACTCTCAAGGACAGTGGGAATTCCTTGGCTATTTTGCCTTCCAGAGCTGCTGCCTTTTGCTTCTGTTCCACAGGCAGAGCCAAAATGCCCATCTTTCCTTCCCTCCTTCTCCCTCTTATTGTGGTAGTGGGGGGTTGAACTCAGGACCTCGCACTTGCTGCACAGACACTCTGCCACTTGAGCCACTCTTGGCATCCCTTTTTGCTCTGTTTATTTTTGAGATAGATTCTTGCTTTATGCTTAGGCCTGCTGGAACAGAGATCCTCCTGCTTGTGCTTCCCCAACTAGGTAGATGACCAAGCTTGCTGAAAGGGGGTCTCCTGAACTTTCTGTCTGGGCTGGCCTCAAACCTCCATCCTCTCGATCTCTGTCTTCCCAGTAGGTAGAAATACAGGCTTGAGTGATTGCATGCCTCCTATGATCTGTCTACACTTAACCTGTCTTAGCTTAGGGAAACAGTGTAACATTCCAAGGAGAAAAGTGAATAGTGGTTTTCAAGTTGAATCTAAGTAGTCACTGTGACTTTTAAGTTTCATTTTACAAACCTGAACGAGCCCATGTCATTTCACAGTATCAGTTATTCAGAAGTGATTAATGCAGTAGAAGTGCCAATCTGTTCAAAAAGGATTTGAATGCATCACTAAGCTCTTAGCCACTATAAAGATTTGCTTGTTTGCCTGTCTCACCATATGGGAAGCTCACATTTAACTCTCCAGCCTTATAATGAGTGGTTGTTGGTAAGTAAAAATGATATTGCAAGAAATACAAAGTGGTGTTTGACTTTAAGCGTTGCTCTGTTGAGGTCATATTTAGGAAGTAATTAACTAATATTAATTACATGTAGTCTTTCAAAACCTGGTGGTTTAGTGTTAATAGATCAACTGTCGTGGGCATGGATGCTAAGTGTACACAGCATCTAGTTAAGATTGCAGACAACAGAGCAACTGTGTGTGCCTCGAGTGCAATGAATCCTCGAGTTCTGAAGACTGGCTCTGTTGAGGCCACACTCTGGGTCAGAGATCAGCTACCCAGGATCTTCTCTCAGGGTGGTCATGGTCCATTGCCAGACACAGGCATGGAAACAAACATCGTGCCAGGAAGCTCAGAAAAGGGAGGGAACAGCGATTCTATAGACGAGGAATCTAACCTGGGTCTTTCTGGGCTGTAAGTCAGTGTGTCATGCAGACCAGGGTAGAATCCCTCTAGCTGCCTTTCTGTCTTATAAGAACTGCCAGTCCATTTCAAAAGCAGTCACATCACTCTGACCTTTGCTGCTTCTCCTTCTTTTTTTTTTTTTTTTTTTTTTTTGAGAAGGTGCTCACTTTGATTCCCAGGCTGGCTTAAACTCCAGGTGTCAAGTGATTCTCCCCGAGCACTGGGGCTATAGGTGTGCACCCCTGCATCTGGCTTCTCTTGTACTTTGAAGAACTTCTGTGCTTACAGTGGGCCACTGAGATGACTCAACATGACTCCCTTCCTTAAAGTCAGCTAATTAGCAACATTAATTCCTCCTTGCCATGGTAAGGTAAGTGTGTAAACAAGCAAATATTCAGATTTTGGGCATCAAGACATGGACAGCTGGGGAAGGGGCACTGGCACCCCCGGTCATGTGGCATGAACAGGGTTTTGTGATTAGTTTTGTGTGAAGATGGTATGAACAGTGCTGTTGTATGTATTCCAGAATAGATAAGGGGCCAGCAGAGAGACAAGACAGGAGGTTTAGCTTCCAATACAGAACGGAGGGGCTGGGGATATAGCTCAGTGGTAGGGAGCTTGCCTAGCCTGCACAAGGACTGGGTTGCATTCCCATCACAGGAAAAATAACAAAAAAAAAAAAAAAAAACCAGAATAAGAACCTGTGCATAGAGGGGTTTCTCCCTTTTTTACATGTTGTATTTGATAAAGATAATTGATGAAAATTTTAATGAGATCACTTCATTTAGGAACTACTGAATACTAATTCTTTAAAAATCTGAAATTGCAATTATTTTATTTCCTGGTGCAAAATCAAGTCCCTAACAGCTACAGTTAAATCAAAGTTGCAATAAATTTGCAGTAACAACAGTGTTCCCTGGTGAGGGATCCAGGTATGGAGAGTGTCATCTCCTTAAATGGACAAGACTCACTGTACAGGAAGGCACAATTCCAGGACAGCCTAGACCAGATCTGACTTGCAGAACTGACTTCTCAGGCATTACTGCTTGCTTAGGTCCTCTTTCATGGGCCCAGGTGAGTATAATTGTTCCAGTTTCTTCCTGGGGTGAGTCATGCATCCCTGCAAAGCTCCTGGAGAGACTTACTTGGGCATATGAGGTCTGAGAGGCTGAACTCTTAACAGCCTGGCTGGCCTTCGGGACCCACTTAAGAGGCTGCCAGAAAACACTTCATAGAATGCAGGGGTTTGGAGAATGACAAACCAGCAGAACTGCTTCCTCTGGGAAGATCAGAGTGGTTTAAATTCTCAGCATGAAGCATAAACTCTGGATCGAAGTCATTAACAAAAAAGTCAAGGAAGTAACTGTGGATAACTTAAGAGGGGACATAAGGAGGGACTGGGAGTTGGAGGAGCTGGGGAAGTTGCAGAGCTCAGGGACAGAACAGACAAAAAAGCCTAGGTGTGGGGACATTAAAGAAAATAAAATAGGAGCTTTCTCAGGTTTAATCTCTATTCATGAGGCATGAGGGAAAGCTGCTGTAGCTGTCTGTGAAGTATCAATTAATATGACACAAAATTTCACATTGTCCTTCTATAAGCACTCTCCAGGGTAACAGAGGGAGAAAGCTGAGCTATTTTGTAGAAGCATCTCCAATCATAAATAGCCAATTAATGAATTACTTTTAGAAGTAACACAGCACTCCTGACCACATTCCATCTCAAAGGCACCTCATGGTCATCATTACAATTCTGCCCGCCCCAATTTCCACTAAGGCTCAGACCTTAGTATAATTAAGCAAAAAGCCTGGAGATTTCCTAACCATCACAGCAGGTCTCGGTTCTGAATGCCCATAAGGAACCTGCTATCTGTTGTGACCCAGAACCTCATCTTCATACTAGGTGATAAAAAACCATCTAGTCATCCATCCATGTAACAAGGATTAGGTAATTCGAGTTCCTTTCATTTGGTCTTTGAACACATACTAGCTAAGAAGTTCCTTAGTTGCTGACTCCACATGGTGGGGCTCACAAAATACCCACCACTGTCCAGATGAGAATGTTTGCACTGAGTTAGCAGAAACCATCATACCATTAACCCAAGTGGAGAAAAGAAATCTGGGAAATTATACACCCATATTTCCAGGTAAAAGAAAAAGATTGCTGGCCTCCCCCTTTTATTATTTCTCTAGTGGTTAAATAAACATGTAAAGATCAGCAGTCTTATCAAACTGCCTCCCAGTCAAAACAGCCACTGGGCTGGCATGCCACTGGCTCCACAGAGAAGAAAAAGTAAATTAGTAGCTATGTCTCAAATTGCTTCTAACTACAAGTCCTAAAAGGAAGGGTAGGGCCTTTGTCCTCAACATACAAAGGAGCAGCAAAGGGAAAGTGTTAACGACACAAGTAAAAACTAAGAGAAAATCATAATTTGGAGACACTACAGAGCAGAAGGAAAATGAAAACAAGTTCAAACCCTAAAGGACAATTAAATGAGAAATAAATTAATTGACTCAGCAAGTTATGACTACAAGGAAAATGGCTAGGATTAAGTGATTTCATCTCCAAACATGGGGTTTTTGAAATTAAGACATCAGTATTTATGTTAATTTCAGTCTATTTTGGAATGGCAAACCGCTTTCTCCTTTTTGCCCTTTGTATCTTTCAGTTCGGACCCTCTGTTCAGGATTAGTAACCTGGATTCAGAATTATTTAGACAGTGTGACTGCGAGCTTGCCTTCCAGATGGCCACCCCTTTCTTCCCTTTCTCTGCATATGCCACCCCTACCCCACCCTTTATGAGGTGGTTATAAACCCATGAAACTGGATTTGCCTGCAGAATATGGCACTCAACTTCACAAGTCCCAAGGTTAGGTCATTAGAAGCCTTGCAGGTTTTCCTGGATCTCACAGAATGTAGGTAAAACCTGAGGGAAGGTGGATTCCACACAAAAACTCTGGCTAGCCTGAGTGTGCCAGGCTGTGAGGAATCCCAAACTAGTCACCAGAGAGGCTGTAGGGAAGGCAGAATGCCCAGCAAGCCCTGGCTACTCAGTCATCCCATTCCAGATGCAGGGCACAGAGGTGTGGGAACATAGTGCACTTGGTCACACCCTTGACCTCCATGACTGCGAGTGAGTGCTGCTCAGTGGAGCTCTCACCCTACCTCTGCTAAACTCATGCCACACATTAATTCACTCAATTGTGAGGGAGTTTTTATATATATATATATATAGTGATAGATGTCAGAAACAGTGATGCCTATGGATTGGGGGATGGATTCTGGGGAAGACATTCCCTGAATGCAGAACTTAGAAGGTAAGAAATCTTCAAAGTCACCAAGCTGAATTTCTGAATTTACAACAGAGAAACCTGATTGTCTAAGAAGCTGCGACCTGCTGAAAGTCAGCCAACAAAGTATTATAGAAGTAAAGCAGCTCCCAAGCTTATAACGTGGAATGTCTTGCTTTACATAAAAATGCCTCAAGTCCTTAGAATCATCACCATCCCTTCTCCTTAATCAGGAGTACTAACTTTATAGTTAGAAGCAACTCCTCCTGCTCTTATTGCTAAACTGGGGAAAGGACAGCTGTGCCACATCTATACTCCCATTCCTCAGTCCATGTTTGGTGGGGACACCTAAAGCAAAGCTTGTGACAGGCATGCAGGAAGCAAGGACACTGTCAGGGACTGAGACTGTACTCAGAGGACTGACTGCAGGATTCACACAGAGCCTCAAGGCCATAACCTCCCCACCTATGCTTCTCAGCTCTGAGTTTAAATCCTTGCTCCATCTCAACTGGCAATGCAACACTGTGCTACTGACAACCTCACGGTGCCTCAGTTGTTTTTTTTTAAATCATAAACCAACCATAAGAATGACATTATGACGGTGACATAAAACCTCAGATCTGTCACTGAAATGAGCATTCATTTGCTGCACAGTATGTTCTCAGCAAATGCCAGCTGCAGTGGTTTAGTATTTTAACCTAAATTCAGAGGACTCTTATCTTACGCTTTGATTTATGGCTGATGTGTGACTCATATACTATTTCAAAACAAGTCACCATACAAATAAGATCTGCTTTTATTACCCACAATTTACATTCTCTGTCCTAAAGAACAGAGTATTCTCAAATGTGTGGAAACACTGATCTGATAAAATACATGAAGTTACATCCCAACTCTGGAACTCTTCCTTTGTGGTACTTTCTTCAAAGCAAACAAAATACCTATCAATGAAATGAAGCACTGTTTTATCATAAATATTAAATTTGCTCCAAATAATTTCTTTTAATTTTTCCTCTAAAATAAACATATTCCAAGGATGTTCTAGGAACTTCTGTTTTGGCAAAAATAAAACCCTCCATGCTGTTATGTGCTGGTCTGAAGTGTTGCAGGCAGGTGTCGAGGGTCCTGGCCTTCACAGGCCAGGGAACTGGCTCAGGAGGCAGTTTATTGACTTGTGATCCAAAATCTGTATATGAAGTAGGATTTATTAGCGAGAAAGGAAAGGCTACAGCTAGAGAAGTGCAGTGGAGCCTGGAAGCCGGTGGCTCACTGCTCAGGTGAAGGCTGGGGCTTGTATGGACATTTGGGTAAGGGCTAGGTAGGCTCTTTTCATTGGTTGTGGATTCGTGGACTTTCTTCGATGAACTGGGTTTTTTTGCCCCTTATGGGGGAGGGGAAACAATCTTGAAAGCATTTTGCTCATTAGCCCTGCCGCAGATCTATCAGACCCTGTATCTCCTCTTCAGGATGCAAGAATGCAGGTTTACAACCCCTTCTCAGGATGCAGGAATCACAGTACTCTCCATAGGGGATGGGTTACTCACTCATCTGCCTTAGATCTCCAGACCCAACAATATGAAAAACCTACACAGTAGAAAAGAAAAATTCTTAAATTTTAAGACCTCAGTGAATTTCGAATAGCAATTCCCAAGTTGAAATCGTTGCGAAGTAGTTTACTTTTCAAATTAGAATTCTAATAAGTTTTTAATGTAAGCAATAAATCCCTAATTATTATTAGAGAAAGCACTGATTATGGAAAACATGGCTATATCTAAGTTCTGAAATGTCTGGAAATTATTGATAAAGTAATTAGGTAAGAAACCTGGTGCTTTTTCCACTAGAGCCTTGCCTGCCAAGGGGAGTCCCTCTCTTCATCTATACAAACATTGGGGTGCAGCTGTCAGGAGTCAGGTTCTCAAAGACCATGCAGCTGCAAAGAGAGGTGGTGGCTAGGATGGCACACAGGCATGGTAAAGAACTTCTTACAGCAGGCTCAAGAAGCACGCACAAAGGATACAGCTCGATGGTAGACTGCATGCTAAGCATGCATGAGGATCTGGGTTTGAGCCCCCCATCCATGCAGGAAGCTAAAGGGTGAATTAACAGGCCTAAACTAAAACAGTCTATTTTATTAAAGGAATTTTATTGTTGATATCTGAGGGGCATCCAAGAAGTACAAAGTTGTGAATGACTCACCCAGCACACCGCATGCTTCACTAAGTATTTAAGGTACAAACAATTATAATTGCCTGCCTTCCTTTTGTAAGGGACAGATGAGAAAGAGAAGCCAGGGGAGGAGAGGGAGGCAGAGAGGAGAGCAAAGGGTCTGCTCTAGAGTGGGAGAGAAAACAGGAGTCTTACAGGCATGGTTTGCGCAGCCCTACTTGGCCCTCTCAGATCAGATCTGCCACTCGCCAGCCATCCTGGAGACTGCACTAGGAATTACCTGGGTTTTGCCTGACTCCATGCACTGGTCATAGGTGCTCGGTATCTGTCCCGAACTGAATTGATCGTCTCCTGTACTCCTTCTCTACCATCCTCAAACACAGCCATGGGTCCCAGAAGGAGGACCCATGGTGGCCAAGTTAGATTTTTCCCCACTGGAAAGGAAAAATAAAAAGGCCTTTGTTAGTAGATGTTACAAGGCACAAAGCTTAGGTGATTGCTGTGAGCTTTGTGCTAGATAAAGCTCTTCCTCTCTCACCCTCCTGTATGCAAAAGCAGGCCTGTGCCAACTACGTTCCCAGCCTCTCTTGCCAGCTGCTTCAGGTCAGGTTTTGCCTGCGCTGTCTAAAGTGCTGTTGGCCAGAAGGGCTTTGAGGATGAGGACCCAGTTCATTCATTGGCCACCTCTAGGGAAAAACAATGTTAGTAGCCTTGTGTGCCATGTTTGTCTGTGCCTGCCTCCTTCCCCCCACCCACATGCACCCACCACCTTCAAAAGTAGTAATGCAGGTAGCTGCAAGTCCTTGTGTCCTTATGGTACTCAGAGAAGAAGGAAGTGGATTTAGTGAAACATATACAAATTTATAACTAGAGTCAGATGATATTCTTAAGGCATTTGGAACAATCTTATTGCATTGCTAAAGAAGTATTTTCAGTACATCATGAGTAAAGTACAGCATTAAACTTTAACAGTAAATTCTGTTTGAGTCCTTGTAATACTTGTATTAAAAAGAATTCAGCCACATTGAGTCCAGTTGCAAACCCCACTGTACGAAGAGAATGGAAAACTCCCCCAAAGTTCATCAGGTCTGTGGTGCTTGAAAATCTCTCCACTTACATTGACTTGAGGACCAATGAGGGATTGATCAACACATTAGAGGATCTATAAACTTCAACAGGTATAAGCTATAATGAAATCATTTAACAACAGAACGAATATGTCATGGCTTATCTACCAAAGACTCATTAATGCTATTGAATTAATAACTTTTAAGAATCTATTCATTTATTATAAATGAAATAAAATTATTTTAAGAGAAAATGCAGAATTTGATATACAAACTTGTTAGCACTTGGATAGTTTGTAAAGGTGTTCACATCCACTTTGGAAAGACTCAAAGACAGAAACAACACATGACTCATTTCTCAGTGTGCACAGTCTCCTAGAAAGTAAGAAAGGATTTATTAGCAAATGATAGGTGAAAGAAATGAGCAAAAGCATATTGTTAAATTAGTGTTGTTTGTGACTAAATTGTGACACCAGTCACACGCAAATGTAACATGATGAATTCAGATTTAATACAGTGATATTTCAAAAACAATAAGGAAGTATCCCTAATAAGTTGTATTCCACAGCAATCACTTCACCTGCATTGTCCTACAAAAGCAGGCCAATTCCAAATAATAAGGAGTAACAGGCTTGGTAAATGCCAATCAGCTGGAAGAGGAGCCTCTTCTTGCTGGCCACGCTGATTTTGAGAAAGAAAAGGGGATGAAAGTTGAAAGGGTAAGTCTCACTAAAGCCCAGACTGGCCTGGTTCTGCAAGGTGGCTCTGAAGAAATTTTTATTGCTTGTGGGGAAATCTGGGTTCCATGAATGACTGCTCCTGTGTGCCTCATGTTGAGGCAGTGGTCTCCCTGCCTCAACCTCCCAAGTGCTAAGATTACAGGCATGTGGCACCGCAATGAGTTTTCTATGTTTAACTTTTGTGAGAAAACAACAAATTGTTTTCCACAGAGGTTCTACCATTTGCATTCCCACAAGCAACTGTACAAAGGTTCCACTTTATCATCATTGCCACTTGCTATTTTCCATCACAACCGTCTTGAACTGGAGGAAAGTGGTTTCCAATTGTGTTTTGGATTTGCAATTCCTTAATTACTACTGATGTTGAGCATCTTTCCACGTTTATCAGCTACTATTTATGTATCTTCTTTAAAGAAACATCTATCCAAGACTTTGCCCATTAAAAAATTGAGTAGTTTTGTTGTTAAATTGTCAGAGTTCATTATAAATCATAGATATTAAATTCCTATCAGTATATGATTTGCAAGTATTTTTCTTCCATTTTGTGGGTTGTGTTTTTACTCTCTTGATAGGAACAACCTTTGATGTACCAAAGTTTGTAATTTTGTGGAAATCCAGTTTTTCTACTTTTTTCTTGGTACCTGTGATTTTTGTGTCACATGTATAGCAGGTACTTACAAACTGACTTTGCTTAAAAGCACTGACTCAGCACCTGCCTGGCAAGCAAGAGGCCTTGAGTTCAAACCCCAGTGCTGCCAACAAAAGCACTGACTCCCAACCCCACAAAATGACTAAAAGTAGGATAAAAGCCTAACATCCCTGCCTGCATTTTGTATCTGTCTCCTTCGTGTTAAAATTCTGGGTCAGACTCCAGCTGATAGGGCTATTAATCTCTTGAGGGTCTGTCTAAAAACTGGATATCTAATGTATCTCAGCCCCTCAAGGCACAAAGATGAGAGTAACTGATGCATCTTACTTCCAGCATTTACAGTGTCCTGTTCCAGACTCCCCTAGAAGGCACCTGAAAATCTTCATTGTTGTAAAACTGCAGTCACCTTGGATCCAGAACAGCAGAGTCTTGCAGACAGATCTTCCCATGATGAAATCACCCTCAAGCATGGGGAACCAGATTTTCCCGCAAGCAATAATGATTTCTTTAGAGCTGCCTTGCAGAACCAGAACTGATAGTTTAGAACACCAACAAATCCATCATCACAAAGATTTCCCCATGTTTTCTTCTAAGAATTGCATAGTTTTACCCCTATATTTGATCTTTGATCCATTCTGACTACTTCTTGTATTTGGAGCCTCCGAATCTGTGGCATGCGACTATAGTTTTTCCAGATCATCTGCTTAAAAGACTGGTATTGCCTTACTGAATTGTCTTGCACCCTTGCTGAAAATCATTTGAACATACATGCAAGGGTTTCTGAGTGCTGTGTTCTATTTTGTTTATCTGTATGTCAGCCTCTGTGCCGCTAGCATGATGGCTTGATTGCTATAGTTTTGTAGTAAGTTTAAACCCTCCAAATTGTTCTTCTTTCTCAGTGAATCCATGCTTCTGCCCACTCTCCATTCTCCCAGGGGAATGAAGCCCCTAGGAGGTTCCATAGATGGGAGAAACCTAGGACTGCCCAGATATGGCCCCTCTCCATAAGGACCTGATGATTTTTTTTTTTTGGCAACACTGGGGTTTGATGTATATATATATATATATATATTTTTTTTTACTTACTGTTGTACTTGAGACTGAACCCAGGGCCTTATGAAGGCTAGGCAAATGTGCCACCAGAAGAGCTGATTTTAAAAGAGGCATCAAACTTGCATGGTGGCAGGGGAAATACTAAACAGTCCTGGGGTAAAACAGAACAGTCCTGGGGTGAAAGGAGAAAAATTATCTTAGTTCACAGATGACATGTGTATTCTATGTAAAACCCCCAAAGAACTGACCCAAAACAAGCGAACACCTTGAAGAACACCAAGGTTTCAGGAGACAAGATTATCATGAAAATTCAGTTGCATTCCTATATACCAGCAATGAAAAATCAGAATTTGAAATTAAAAATATACCACCATTTATATTAGCACTGAAACAATGAACTACTGAGTAAAAATCTAGCAAAATACATACAAGATCTGGATAAGGAAAACTCAAAACTTGGATAAAATAAAGAACTAAGTAAATGAGATATTCAGTGTTAATAAATAGCAAGATTCAATATTGTTAAAATGTTATTTCCTACGATTACGTTAATAGATTCAAAACAATCACAAACGAAATCTCAGGAAGTTACTTTGAGATACTGAAAGACTAATTCTCAAGTTTATGTGGAGATGCAAAAGTTCCAGAATAACCACCTCAACATAGAAGAACAAAGTCAGAAAGATAATTGATACTACCTGGCTTGGAGAATCCTTATAAAGCCATAGTGATGGACGCAGTGTGATATTGATTATATAACAAACAAGTAGATCTAAAAAACAAAACAGAGAGCCTAAAATAGAAATAAACTCACACAAACATCATCAACTGATCTTTGCCACAGGAACAAAGGCAATATAATGGAGAAAAGATGATGTCAGAACAATGGAACATCCACAGTAAAAATATATGCAAACACAGACATCATATCTTTCATAAACATTAACTCTAAATAGATCATAGAAATAACTCCAAAAGGCAAAACATAACACTTCTAGGTTATAACATAGGAGAAAATCTAAATGTCCTGGGGATTAGCAATTAATTTTTAGATGACGTCTCAAGATGATCCAGGAAAGAACAAACTGATCAATCTGATTTCATCGAAATTAAAAACTTCTCTCTGAAAGACTGAAGAGAATGAAAAACCAAATCACAGATTCATAGAAAATACTTGTAAAATATATCAGATAAAGTAATTCATTCCAAATTACACAAAAAAACCTTCAAATTCAGCAATAAGAAAATGGGTGAAAGAGTTTGTGAACAGACACTTTTGCCAAAGAAGATATACTTATGGAAAATAATCCTAGGAAAAGAAGCCTGATCATGTTGTAGAATTTCAGACTGTGAGACCTGGTATGAGATACCACTATACACTCATTAAAATGACAAAAATCAGAAACGCTGTCAAGGATGTGAAGCAAGAGGGACTTTTGTTCACCGCTGCTGGGAATGCAAAATGACAGTCACTTTGGGAGACAGCTTGGCAGAAAACAGTTTCACTACACAGTCCAACAATTGTGCTCTGTTATTTACCCAAAAGCCTGCATACAAATGTTTATTGCCGTTTTATTCACACGTGCAAACACTTGAAGCAGCAAAGATGTCCTTTGATAGATGAGGCATAAACTGGTATATCCATACATGGGATTACTGTTCACAAATTAAAAAAAATAACAAACTATCAATCCAGGAAAAGAAGTGGAAAATTATTAAACAAATATTGCTAAATTAAGGAAGCCAGTCTAGCAGGCTACATACCGTATGATGTTAACAATATGTCTTTCTGGAAAAGGCAAAAATATGAAGATAGTAAAAAGAAGAGTAGTTGTCAGTAGTTCAGGAGAGGAGGGTAATAAAGCATAGAGGTTTTAGGGTGAAACTATTTTGTATAGCAACGGGCGGATCTATCATTGTACTGGTAGAAATCTCACTCTGCACAACACAGAGTGAAAGCAAATGCAAACAAAGAACTTAATTGTACAAAATACACCACACTACTCAAAATGCTAATAGAAACGCTGTAGGGGGAGTGACTAGAGCTATTTGGGATGTCTTTGTGTTTTCTGTGTGGCTAAGCCGGCTCTTTAAAAAAAGTTACTGATTAAAAGAAAACTACGTCATTACGCCCATATGTTCTCAATTTGTGAAAAGGATGTGTTGAAGGTAAGAGGAGGACTACTTGGGAAGAGGAAGATAACCGGCGGGAGAGAAGGGGAACGAGAAACGGTAAAAGATAAGCATGATCAAAGTACATTTTACAGACATAAGAAACCATCATAGCAAAACCTATCATTTTGTGTAATGTACACTAATAAAAATGTTTTTAAAAATAAATTTAAAAGTCAGATACATTTAAGTTTCAAGTAGGGATGGAAAGGCATGGTTGATGCAGTAATCGCTTTCTTATTTGGGTTGCGTGTGTTTTTGTGCATTACTTGGGTAATTTTGAGCAGCCAGTTTCCCTCCTCTCTCCCAGACAAATCCGGCTGGTTGCAGATGTCACTTTGTTTTCTATGAATTGTTCGGTATCTGAACACACTTTGGCAGCTGTGAGTTTATCGGCACTCGTCTGCACGGGCAATACAGCAGCAGTACAGTTTCTCCATTCCCCCATAGATCTTGTACTGAGTAAATTAAAAAAGGGGGGGGAAATCAAATACGCAGAACGAGTAGCAGTAAAGTGAGTTAACAATTCTTACCCGCAGACACCGGGACCGGGAGAACCTGGGCCTCACGGGAACTGTAGTTTCCAGCGCCACCGGGCCCGCAGGGTCTGCGCATGCCCCGCCCCGCCCCTTCCTCCTTTTTGGGCTTGGCCCCAGCGGGACAAGGTCGCCACAGCTTAGAATCCGTGAGGCCACTGAGGTGGGTTGTGGGTGGAGCACTCCGGGGACAAGGCTTCTCGCTGCCTGGAGCCTCGGGACAGGTGGCCGTGCACGAGCGACAAGAGCGGCAGCCTCGTGATCCCCGAGCGGGTCCTTGTCTTCCCCAGCTCCTGTGCGCTCAGGCCGCGGCCTCCGCCAGAGAGTAGCAGAGCAGCAGTAACTGGTGCTGTCAAAAGCCTATAGTTGTAATCCATCACCGTGTTAAGTGTAGGCTGCATTTCATTCTCAGCCATACAGACTTGTTAGAAACATGCAAAAAATTGTAATTTGGAAATTTTCACTGTCTGCAATATTATTTAACTCAGTACATGCAAAATATTTTGGCTTAATGCGCTGTTCATTCTTCAGATATCTAGTAGCTGCATGTGGCTAGCACACTTCTGGTGAATTCCCAGAGGTTTAGGGTGTCAGATGACGGTTTCAAATAAAACGAATTTATTTCAGGCCCAGATCCCATCTCTTCTGGAGCAAAGTAGCTCTTGAAGGAAACAGGGAGTCACAGGGACTACTGCCACTTGTAAAAACACCTGTTCTGACAAGTGACTCCTGCTAGAGCTTCTGAGCAGAAGATTTTAGAAAGGATTTAAGCTAGGGTCTATGTAGCTCAGGCTGGCCTCACATTCAAAATTCTCCTCCCTAAACTTTCGCTATGCTGTGATTACAGCCATCCACCATACCTGGCCCAGAGGCCGTTATTGATTTCCCCTATCACGTGAATCAGATTTGGTAATGTCACCTAGTCCAGAAGCCATCCCAGGCTTTGTGACCACAGACACTGTGGATACACTTGCTGAAGGTGATAAGCTGGGGTAAATGGAATGGGCCACCACTGTCAGGCTGCATAGTAAAAGGAACTTTACTGGAGAGTTGGTGAGGGTATGGTAACTGAGATGACAGCCAGCTGGTGAATTCTAAATAGCACCCCATGTCCTTCCTTCTCCCCTCACACTGAGCTACTCTCATCACGCCATGTCCATCACCTGTGGCATTTAGAGTTGTGTTAATGCTCTGTCTTTCGGAAACAAAGAGAATAACAAATGGTACTAGAGGAAAGAGTTTTTTGTGTTGGAAGCTCAAAAGTTTTGGCCTAACATGAGTGACTTTTGTAGAATCAACTAGGGCAGCACCAGGAACTCTTAAGTTTGGTGCTGTTCTCTTTCACAGGTAAGTGCTGTAGCATCTTATCTTATCAAAAAATCTTTTAAGAATCAACAATGGATTTAGAGTTTAAAGGAAGTATTTCTTGCAAAAACCATCCCATCTTTATTTCAGAGCTTAGCCAAAATTGTAAGTTGGGGCTACAGGTGGTACAGTAAGAACTTGATTAGTAAGTCAGGCTGAGCAGTTTTAATGAAGGTAGAGAGTTCTGTCTCTTGTGTGGCTGAGCAATGTTTTCTGTTTCATCAGTCAGGAAGTTAGTTCATGAACAAAATGCAGTTTCACTGGCTTGGTGAAAATGCAAGCCTACAGAGAGATGCACAGGTTCCACTGCTGCTGCCTCTGAATGGTGGTTTTCCTGTTCTCTCTCAGGAGTCAAAGGGATAGTGCCCTCACTGGGCAGATGATATAGGAATAGAAGGCATGAATCCATTTTTCTATTTTCCTCCTCTGCAGCTGAACCCTCACAGTTCTCTGCACTCTTCCAGGAGCAACAGAAAATGAACTCCATTCAGGTGAAGTCAGTTTTTAGTAAGTTTTCTTTACAATGGATTTTATAAAGATTTCTGTGTCTACACATTAATGAAATAATAAAATGGGTCAATTTTTAATAGAAATGTAAGGACCCTGACTGGATTATGATCTAATTTGATTGTAATCAAATCCAATGGGTGTTGTCTTTATCTTTTCCACAACACTTGCTTCTACATTTCTCACTCTGCCCTGGAAAGTTTCTTTGTTAGTGACACTAGCCCTGTCCTTTCCCTGCCAATATCTTTTGGAGTTATTTTCTCTCATGTTTTCATGCCTCACCCCCCTGTCTTCCATCCTTGGCCCCTTCATCTCTTCTGTTGTCTCAGAATTACTTCATTCTCAGATTTTTTAATAGCTTTCTTGAGATTCAATTTACATACTGTACCATTCACATACTTAAATTGTAGAATTCTGTGATTTTTCAGTAGACTTTCAGTGTATTGTCATCACCCCTGTCAATTTTGGAATATTTTTATTGCCTAAAAGACACTAAACACCTTAACTCTCACTATTCTCTCCAAGTCCCAAGCAACCCCTAATTTGCTGTCTATACATTTGTTTAACTATACCCTTATTTCTTATAGGACAATTTTGCATGTTTTGAATTCTCTCAGTTTTTGTTCATCAGGGAAGTTTTTAATTTCTGTTCTTGCCAAATGCATGTGGTTCTTGGTTGAGTTTCTTTCAGCACTTTTTTTTTTTTTTTTTGGCAATGCTAGGGATGAACCCAGGCCCTTCTGCATGCCAAACAAGTGCTGTACCTCTGAGTAGTAGTTCCTATTGATTTCATCTTTTTCCTTCCATATGGGTCAGTCTTGTTTTTTTTGGTTTGCAAGTTTTTTTTGTGGAAAAGTTAACATTTTAAGCAAAATAATCTGACAGCACTAGAAATCAGGAATTTCTTCCCTGTACAGGTAGTATTGAAATTTATTTGTTCCCTGATTTTTGAAAACTAATTCTGTAGAACCTATGTTTGCAGCTAAAGTTGGCAGAAATTTCCTTAAGGCCTGGACCCAGTAAGTCCCAGCCTTTGCCAAAGGGCTCTGTGGATATTAAGGTATTCCTTCTGTAGCTGTCTAATTTACAACTCTGCACCCTGCTTCTCTTACTCCATACCGAAGGTCGCCCACAGGTGACAGTTTAGGTCCTTCCTTATCTGCCCTGAGCATATGCTCAATTCTATGCATGTAGGGAACCTTCTGGATTCTCAGGAATACATAGGAACTTTTTGTTTTTGATCAGGCTACTGTTTGCCCCAGGCATTACCCACTATTTCCAGTAGACTGAGAAGTTAAACAACTGTCTTTAAATGTTTTTGACTAATGTTCCTGAGAATCAGACTGTACACCCTGGGTGAGCTTTGAGTTAATTCAAATAGCCTTGCCATTGAGGTCTTTAGGGAACCTCCAGGCAAGTCACATAATGATAGTTTTCTGAGAATGAGGCTTTGACAGAAGTTTAATCCCATTCTACCTCCTCCTAGTTGCTAGGCTGCTGATTTCACTGTTATTTCAGACTGCTGGTTCTCAGAGCTACCACGGAAATGGAGCGATGGAAACAGAGCAAGTTAAAATGACACAAGATCACAGTTCTTGACGTAGCTATTTTCTGGTGTAACTGTTCTTCAGATTTCTGCAAGCCTTGGATTAGCCTACTTTTTCTGAAAAAGTTGATTCTATAATTATGGTAGTCTCTCGTTGCTTTTATGGAAGAATTTGTTGGCTCTTTACTGTTTTTTAAGTTTATAGGTACAGGAAATTGACCTTTTATCAGTTTCCAAGACACTGTTTTCAGAAAACTCCTCTGGCTCTGTGACCTATATATCTTCTGCCAGTCTTTTCCTATCTGTGGTTCCTCAGCTGATGTTTTGGGGACTTTTCCTTCCTTAGTCCATATGTGCTCAAGGAACTGTCTCATGGTCTCTAACAATGTCAGGTAACAAATGGTCGGTCACTCCTAGATGTGGTCTTCACGTTAGACCTCCTACATGCTGTAGAATCCCATGTATCCTGGTTCCTGTTCTATACACCCTATGTAGCAGCAACATGAACAGATCTAGTCCTGTAAAACTTCCAATGCATTTTCTTCCTTTTTTTCCAGAATGACAATTTTTAGCACCATCATATCAAATTTTAGCATTTTCATTTAGAAATGTGAAATTATATAATGTATATACTTATAAATACATCACAATCACTCTACTGTGTGATAGATCTGAAAAATTTATTCCTCCTTTCTAACCAAAACTTTGTACCCTTTGGCCAATACCTTTCCATTTCTGTCTCCTGGTTAACTGCTATGCTACTCTACTTCTAGAAGTTTGATTTTTTTCTATTTATATTATAAGTGAGAGCTTATTTGAGATATTTGCCTATCTGACAACTAAAAAGAAAAGAGAGAAAAGAGAAGCCGCTCATATGGCTAGACTGGGTCGTGCACAGGAAAGTAGTTATCCAGTGATTGTTGCTTCTCCTATGTGATTATGTTCCTGTTTTAACATTTGTTGCAATACAGGTAGTATGCTCTTACACCAGTCTCTTTGGTGCCAACTCCTTTGTAGTATGTTCGCTGCTCTTCATGATTATGTATTTTTATATTTAAGTTCTGTCAGGTCTAATAGCCCCAGAGCTTATAAGGATCTCTTTGTTGACTCCCATTTACAGTGATGATGTTCAAGGAATGCGAACATCCTTAAAGAATTTCACCTAGAATAACTCTTTGGGATGTGGAAGGAGAGTTGTAGGAAGTCTGTCTACATTCAGTTTTTTTTCTTAAAAGATCTGTAATTCACAGACAGGTACAGCAGTTCACACCTGTACTCAGAGGCAGGGATCTGGAGGATCAGGAGGACTGGGGTTTGAGGCCAGATCAGACAAAAAGTTTGCACGATCTCATTTCAGCCAATGAAAAGCTGGGGTGGTGGTGTATACATTTGTCATCCCAGCTATGCAGGAAATGTAAATAGGAGGACCAGAGGTCCAGGCTAAGTCTAAGCATAAATGAGACACCTTACGTTAAAAATAAGCAAAGCAAACAGGACCAGGAATGTGGCTCAAGTGGTAGAGTGCCTACCTAACAAGCTCAGAGCCCTGACAACTTCAAACCCTATTGCTGCCAAAACAAAACACCAAACTAATTCATGCATGTATATAAATGAATTATGGCATGTTAATAAGTTTCTTAGTGCTGGGCATCAGTGGCTCATGCCTGTAATCCTAGCTACTTGAGAGGAAGAGTTTAGGAGGATTGCTCTTCAAAGCCAGCCTGGGAAAATAGTTCTGGAAACCCTGTCTTGAAGATACCAACCACAAAACAGGGCTGGCAGAGTGGCTCAAGTTACCGGTAGAGTGCCTGCCTAGTAAGTGTGAGGCCCCAAGTTCAAAATCCCAATGCTGCCAAAAAAATTGCTTAGCTAATTGAGAAACACTAAAGTTTACTACAAATTTAGGTGCATAGTTGGCTTTTATAAGACCATTTTCTTTTGGAGATCCTGAAGAGTAAAAATTAGTAGTTCTCAGAGATTTTTTTCTATGTCAGTTCTGAACCCTTGAACAAAATGTTTGTAACAGGGATCAGTGTCATTTGAAGACGTGACTGTGGAATTCACGCAGGAGGAGTGGCGGCACATGTGCCTTCCTCAGAGGACCCTATACAGAGACGTGATGCTGGAGAACTACAGCCACCTCATCTCTCTGGGTGAGCAGATGTTCTACATGTGACTCCTTCAGGAGGATACATCGGTTTTTTATTTTTAATGATCAAAACACATGGACTCTTACCAAGGTTTGCATTAAGAATACTAAAGTCATTGACACCTTTAGAGAAACAGAAGCAATGTGTCAATACTTCCCACTGACAGCTTCAACTTCTGCTTCTCTTGCTGCTGTATCTTATCCACCTTTGGAAACCCCAAAGGTTTTGGATCTGCTCTGTGAGAACCCTCAATTATTTATTTACAGGATACTGCATTACCAAACCCGAGGTGATATTCAAGTTGGAGCGAGGAGAAGAGCTGTGGTCCTTAGGGGACAAATTCCTAAGCCAGAAGTATCCAGGTGAGTGAGCACTGACAGAGACCTAGGATATTAGACCGTGTGTGTGTGTGTGTGTGTGTGTGTGTGTGTGTGTGTGTTGGGGATGTTAGTCAGCTTTTTGTCACTATAGCAAAATATCTGAAATAATTAACTTACAAAGAGAAAAGGATTATTTTAGTTTATGGTTCTGGAGGCTCAGTCCAAAATAAAGTAGCTCATGGTTTTGGACCACTGGCTAGAGTAGCACATCAAAGCAGAAACACATGGTACAGATACCCTTTACCTCAGGAGCCAGGAAGCAGAGGGGGAGACAGGAGGGGTGAGGTCACCTTTTAAGCCCCAGGGAGCAAAGGACTCCTATAAGACCTCACCTTCAAAAGCCCTACCACGTCCCAACAGTGCCACTGTGGGGACCAAGCTTTTACCACATGCACCTTTGTGAGAAACTACCTGTATTCAACTACAGCAGAGGGAAAACCCCTTGGAAAGTATTTTTTGACAGCTTTATTGAAATATAATTTATATATCACCGATTTGAAGTGTATATAATTCAGCAATTTTTTGTATATTCACAACTATGTGCAAATATCACAATAAATTTTTATCACTTCAGAAAAAAGTGCTGTTCGGTCATCACTGTTCTCTTCCCCTATTCCCTCCATCCCTAGGCAACCACTAATCTATTTCCATCTCTACAGATTGGCCTATTTTTGGACATTTCACATAAATAAAATCACTGTGTGGTCTTTGTGCTTGGTTCCTTTTTGCTTAGCATAATGTTTGCAAGATTCATGTTAGGGCATCTGTCAGTACCCTTTATCCTTTTTATGAACAGCTAGTATTTCATTGTATGGCTATATCACATTTTGTTTGTCCATTTATATACATTTGGGTTTCTACCTATGGCTATTATGAAGAATGCTTATATTAACATTCATTTGTAAATTTCTGTGTAGATACATTTTTATTCCTAACTTTTCTGTTAACAGAAGTAAATTTGTAGTCTCACATTATTTTAAATAAAGAACAAAAGTAGAGTTTAAAAATCAAATTAGATATAAAGTAGAACTGAAAACTAGACTATTTCTTAGAATAAAAAATAAAATGGATCAAATTGTAGGTAACCCTAACAAAGAAAAGAGAGGAAATAGGTTTATAATAAATTCAAGTGGGAATATGTGTGTAAAGATTTCACTCAGTACCTCCCAAAATCCCAGTATCTGTCAGATACCAAGGCTCATGTAAGGTTTCTGAGCCGTTAAGCAGTACGGAGCTGAGAAACAGTGGAAAGCTTAAGAAAAAGCATGTGCTTTATAGATACTTGGTCTCAGCTGGCACTGCAGAACAGTGGAGAGAGGATCTTAAGGTATCCATGTAGACCAAAACAAAAACTTGGATTTAAATGTTTAAAGACATACTGAAATATTTTGCAAGATGATAGAGCATAGGTTCAGGACTTTTTAGGAAGGGATTTAATAAGCTACAGAAGGCATTAACCAATGGAACGTCAGAGTAAATGTACTCCTTCCTACTCTAACCACTAAGTACGATATATGTATGTACACACTTACATCACACACAAAAATGCACACGCAGATTCTGAAAGGTGGAAGGAAGAATGAAGAACTCTGGGCCTTGGTACCTGATGAAATACAAGGTGGTAGTACCAGCAGATGCCTTGTTTGGAGCCTCATACTCAGTCTGAGCCCAGTGTTAATATAGATGCTGTCTCCACCCCAGCGTGTCCTGCAGAGATTAGTGGGGAACCCTGGAGGTAGTGACAGTGCACCATACTTCTCATACTGGCAGGGGTTCAGAGAATGTTCACTAAAAGTGAATTAATCTTGATAAATTCTAACTTTTTATAATTTATTAATGTTTTATGGATATCTTTGAGTTCCTTTCTAGAATCCTCAAAATTAATTTTTGCATAGATGTACTCTGTGTCTTTTTGTTTTTATTCATGCCTTGTTGCACTAGCGGAGATGTTTAATACAATCTTGGGTTAGGTGGTAAGCGTGAACACCTTGTTTTTCTCAATCTTTTTTTTTTTTTTGGCAGTGATGGGGTTCCAACTCAGGGCTTTCAACCTGCTAAGCAGGTGCTCTACTACCTGAGCCACTCTGCTAGCTTTTTTCCCAGTCCTAACTGTCGGCTTTTTATTTATTCCTGTTATTAAGTTAGCGAATGGATTTTAAATTTTGTTAAAATTTTTGCATCAATTGAAGTAATCATGTGGTTTTAATTCTTTACACTTAATATGATGGATTAACATTGAGTTTTTAAAATATGTCAGTTTTGTATCCTTTGGGTAAATCTCGCTTGGCCATGATTTATGATGTTTTTATATATTGCTGTGTACAGAATTTTTGACAATTTCTGCATTTATTTCATGAAGAACACTGGTCTGTTTCTTTTTTGGATTGTCACTGCCTAGAATGCTTCTTTTGTAATCGTTATTCTCTAAAGAAGATCTTTCTTTAATTTCTTTTTGTCTACCATCTTAAAGGGGAAACTTAACTATCTAAATGGAGAACCTTTTCTAATTTAAATTTAAGCTTCCAGGAACTTTACATCTGAGCACTGCTTTAACTGCAACTCACAAATCCCTTGCATTCACTTCAAAATATCTTAAGTTTCTGTAGACGTCCTCTTTTATATCCATGGGTTAAAAGTGTATCATTTACAAATATATAGTTTTCCACATAATTTTGCTTACTGATTTCTACTATGATTTTTCTATGGCTCAAAACCATCCTTTGTATGATTTCTGTTCTATTATATTTGTAAAGATTTATCTTTCGTGTGCTTTTGAAAAGAATGTGAAGCCAACTGTTGTCCAATGTGTAGTGTCCTCAGGTTTGGGAGGTGTGGTTATCACAAGTGCTCCTCCATCTTTTGTGCCTGTAGGATTGGGCCTAATGTGGTCCAGCCATGGGGCCAGGGTTCAAATGGTAGAGTGCCTGCATGGCAAGTGAGTTCAAAATGTAGTACTACCAAAAGAATCTCCCTCCAAGCAAACAAACAACAACCCCCCAGATATATGCCTGCCTCTTGTTTCTATGGTTTTCTTTCCTTTTCCCTGGTATCCGTGAGCTGCCACCAGTGACCTAAAGCTACACATCTCTTGTTCTTGATCTTGAAAATGAAAGAATTCAACAGTGGCTGCTGTTACAATTCCCAGCATATAAAAAGAATACAACTTTCTCAAGGCTCTTCATGACCTTTTCTCTGAACGCCCCATTGGCTCATGGAGGAAAACATTGCAAGTGTGCACAGACCCTGCGTGTCTGTGGCAGCGGAAGACTCATTCCCTGCTCAGTCTCTGTAGAACATAACATGGCTTCCATTTTTATTTGGCCTATGTTTGCTGGTTGTTGTCCTGAAAGGTTTCTGTTCTGTTAGACTACATTTTCCTGAGACCCTCAGCTAGAAGAAACAAGCTTTTCTTGGAGCTCTTTTTGTCTCTGCACAATGTCAACTCCAGATTGCAGGCTTGAGGACACAAATGGGATATATGGGAAACAGATAGAAAAGCATTGAAATTTCCCACTGTATTGTTTCATAAATCCTGAATTCCTCTTTGTAAAAGTGTAATCCTCATCTTTGGGTTTCTTGGGTGTTTTTTGAGACTGGGGTTTTAACTCAGTGCTTCATACTTGCAAAGCAGGTGCTATACTGCTTCAGCCACACTACCAGTCCATTTTGCACTGATTATTTTGCAGATGGGATCTCACCTGGGCTGGCCTCAAACCATGATCCTCCCAATCTGAGCCTCCCAAGTGGCTATGATTACAGGCATGAGCCATTGGCGCCTGGCAGTGGTCCAAGGCTTTTACTTATAAAAGGGAGCCTCTGGGAGGTACTGAAACTACCTGTTTTTGTTTTGATAAGAAAATGTCTGTACATGAGTTATTTAGTTCTTGGAAACATGATCCAAAGCAACAAAATAAAATACTTAACAAGACATATCTATATCTTCCCTTCCATTGGAAGTATAACATTTATGTTTTCAATTTTTCTCATTTTAGGGTATCATAAAGTTGATGTCCACATCGAGGGAGACCAGGAAAAATAAGAGAAACCTCTGAGGCAAGCACTATTTACTGATGACAAAACACTAAGTGAAGAAGGACAGAAAGTTTTAGGAAAACCACTTCATCTGGGCATGGCTTCTACAAGTAATTGTTACTCACATAGAATGAATTTGCCAGGTGTTTCTGAGTTAATCATTAGTGAGGGAAACTGTTCAAGAGAGATGACTGATTACATGAATGTATGTGAAAAGTTGTGGCTTGATATTAAACAGGAAGATACTTATGAGTATAATGAAGATGTGAATGGTCTCGATTATGAGAAAGGTCAACATCAGAATTTTCAAACTTTGGCTCAATGTATTGACTGCAGTGAGTTTGGAAGAATGTTATATGGAAAGACTGTTTGTATTGCAGTTGAGAGTTCTCCAACAAGAGAGAAGTTCTTCAAGGATGATGAATGTAGGCAAATCAGTGATAAAACAATTCTATTAAACCACATGAGAACTGACACACAGGAGAAAAGCTCTCATCTTAACTGTGGAAAATCCTGCAACAAAAACACCATTGTAAAATACAAAAAAGTTCATATGGCTATACCACACCATGGATGTAATAAAATTGTTATCAGTGGGAAGTCACCTCTTATTCAAATCCGGAGACCTCTTAAAGGACAGAGTACTTTTGAAAGCAATAAATGTGAAGAAAACTTGAGCCACAGTCCAGCCTGTATAAAGCATCAGGAAAAACAAACTGGGGATAATGTCTAAATGCCTTCTACCAGAAATCACACCTTACAATATATCAGAGAAGTCAAGGGAAACTCTACCAATCTACTGTGCATGGGAAATACAAGAAAGCACACCTCACCCAGCATCAGAGAACCCACTCAGGGGAGAGTCCTTATAAATGTGCAGAATGTGGGAAATTCTTTTGTTCAAATTCGTGCCCCATTCATCATCCTGGAGCTCATATGGGGTTCAAACTCTATGAATGCAGTGAATGTGGGAAAACATTCTGTCAGAAGCCAAACCTTGGTGAACATCTGAAAACTCACACAAAGCAGAAGCCTTATGATAACAAATCACCTCTCCTAGAACACCAGAGAACAGATACAGCGAGGAAGCTCAATCCAGGTAGCGACTATGGGAAACCATTTGTCATGATGGGACATCTCAAAGAACATCAGAGAGTTCACACAGGAGAGAAGACCTGTGAACGGACTGAATGTGGGAAAACTTTCTCCAAGGTATCACATCTCAGGGCACACCAGAGAACTCATACAGGTGAAAAGCCCTATGAATGTACTGAGTGTGGAAAAACTTTCTCTCACAAGACACACCTCAATGCACATCAGAGCATTCATACTGGGGAGAAACCTTATGCATGTAATGAGTGTTGGAAAGCTTTTGCTGATAATTCAACCCTCAGAGCACACCAGAGAATTCACACAGGGGAGAGACCCTATGAATGTAATGAATGTGGGAGATCTTTTGCTCATAATTCCATTCTCAGAACACATCAGAGAATTCACACAGGAGAGAAACCCTATGGATGTAATGAATGTGGGAGAACTTTTACTTACAATTCAGCCTTCAAAGCACATCAGAGAATCCACACAGGTGAGAAACCCTATGAGTGCAGTGACTGTGAGAAAACTTTCACCCATAATTCAGCTCTCAAAGTACATCAGAGAATCCACACAGGGGAAAAACCATATGAGTGTAATGAATGTGAGAAAACTTTTGCCCATAATTCAGCACTCAGAGCACATCAGAAAATTCACACAGGGGAGAAAATCTACAAATGTAACGAATGTGGGAAAACTTTTTCCCAGAAGACACACCTCAGTACACACAAAAGAATTCACACAGGAGAGAAACCCTATGAATGTAGTGGATGTGGAAAAACTTTCTCTCAGAAGTCATACCTCAGAGGACATGAAAGAACTCACACAGGAGAAAAACCCTATAAGTGCAACATATGTGGGAAGACTTTTGTCTATAAGGCAGCTCACATAGTACATCAAAGAATTCACACAGGGGAGAAGCTCTATGAGTGTAATGAATGTGGGAAAACTTTCTCTCAAAGAACACACCTCTGTGCACATCAGAGAATACACACAGGGGAAAAACCCTATGAGTGTAATCAATGTGGGAAAACTTTTGCTGATAACTCAGCCCTTAGGGTACATCACAGAATTCACACAGGGGAGAAACCCTATGAATGTAATGAATGTGGGAAAACATTCTCCAAGACATCACATCTCAGAGCACACCTGAGAACTCACAGGGGAGAAACCCTATGAGTGTAATGAATGTGGAAAAACTTTCTCTGAGAAGTCTTATGTCAGTGCACATCAGAGAGTTCACACAGGTGAGAAACCTTACACATGTAATATATGTGGGAAACCATTTGCCTATAATTCAACCCTCAGGGTACATCAGAGAATTCATACTGGAGTAAAATCCTATGAATGTAATGAATGTGGGAAAACTTTCTCCCAGAAATCACACCTTAGTGCACACCAGAGAATTCACACAGGTGAGAAACCCTATGAGTGTAATGAGTGTGGAAAAGCTTTTGCCCAAAACTCAACTCTCAGAGTACACCAGAGAATTCACACAGGGGAGAAACCTTTTGAATGTGGTGAATGTGGGAAAACTTTTGTCCGTAAGGCAGCTCTTAGAGTACACCATACCAGAATGCACACCAGAGAGAAAACCCTAATATGTAATGAGTTTGGAAAGTCCTGAAACAACTACACAGTGGAAAAACCTCATGTGACAAAGGCATTATTTTTTCCTTTATCCATCTCTTTTCCACTAGGGATACATGTTGATAAAAATTTCCAAGCAGTCATTCATCCAGGTGGAGCTGGCCATGCAGTATGACACTAATGATATTATAGTTGAGCCTGACCTTTAAACAATTACCTTACATTCTTCCTGGTCCATTGCAAAATGAAATAGGACAGCCACAGAAAACATGGAACTGTGTGCTGACACATGGTAGAACACAGGGTGAAAGATACCAGAGGGAATAACTGGAACAGAATCCCCACTTTCAGAGCCTCATTGTTTTTTTTTTAAGAAGAACAAGTTTGTAGTCAGCTGAGCTCTTACATGTTTGTTCTATTAGTTAAATGTACATAGTTTATCCAACTGTTAGTGGGATGAAAGTATTAATATAATAAACATCGGAAGACATAAGAATTTAACTTACTAGGCTGGAGGTGTGACTCAAGTGGTAGAGCAACTGCCTAGCCAGCATAAGACCCTGAATTCAAACCCCTGTACACCCTCTGCAAAAGAATTATTGTACATCCAAGACTTCACATGAGGAAGAAAACTTCTGTCAACATCCTGAATCTTCATTAAAAACCAGACATATCTCAGGGAAAACACAGAAGCCTTACTATGAACAGAACTGCATTATACATCAAATGGTTTGACTGAAATTTTATATTTTGTGTAAATGACTCTTTTCAATAAATATTGAAGGTTTATCATAAGATAATGTAAGAAAATAATGACCCCTACACTAACTCACTATAGAATGTGGAGTTTTGAAAATGGAGGAATACATTCTGTGGACACCATCAATACCATCAATAAATGTTTGTGGATAGTCTCTGAGCTATGTGGAGCATCTGGATGAGTCTTTTATAAACATGATTCATTGTTACTGGTGAATTCTAGTAGGAGCCAGCAGCCAAATCTGCGCTGGTCCTGTTCACTTCCATATGTTTAGTGGCATCTCTGTTCTCTTGGTGTTGTTTAACTCAGTGCTGTTAGAGTTTGGCCTGCCTGCTGTGACTGAATGTTAGTCTAGCCTTATTTTTCTACAATCTTGAAGAACCATGAGATTTTCTATGTATGTGGCAGTGTTGGTCCTTACTCTTTTTAAAGAGTGATTATAAACACAAGTCTTGTCTCTGCCCCTTTTATATGCATTGAATCTGAATGTCCTGTCTTTTATGTATTTTTCAGTCATCATGTCTGCACTCACACCATACAACTTTGCAAACCAGTGGTATTTCAAATCAACTGAGATAGCAGGATTTGGAACTGCAACAGAACTACATCATACCAGAAGCATAGCACTGGTACTGATTCACTTTGGGGAAAAGATACAGTGCAGTACAGTCTTGACCAAGAAACTCTCTTTGTGTACTCTATCATCATCTCAGGCTAATGGTTTGTTCAGCAGGGAGAAGAATGTAAAGTCATTAAAACAATTAAATGTTGCTTTCTGTAAGTTTGATCTGATTGAGTATGAGGACAATAAACCAATTGAGAAAAATATGGCATAACTTTTGGATTAAGTGGAGAATAGGTATATGTGTTATTTTTCATTGCCCTGACAGACCACTCAAGATAAATAACTTAAGAGGGAGGATTTATTTTAGCTCATGGTTTCAGAGGTTTCAATCATTAGCTCCTTTGCTTCCCGCCTATAATGAGACCAATGTCAAGGCAGAGAGCATGTGGTAGAAGAGTGGAAAAGAGCTGTTCACCTCATGGGGGATGGAAAAGGGGGGAAGATCAGTAACCCACTTCTTCCAAGCAGGCCCTGCTTTCTTTTAATCAATGGATTCATCCATCGATGCGGTTAGTTACCCTCACTAGCCACACACCTCTCAATAGCACCAACAATATGGGACACACGAGCCTATTTCCAGAACACTTCATATCCACACTGTAACAGTAGTTCTTTGACACCAGGTAGTTATCAGTTAATTTAGAGGCATCTGTGCCAAAGTAAAGAGCCAGTAAGAGCTCACCATTGGATGAGAGCTGTGCTGTACTACCATTATGGATGGATGAGACACCAGAGACTGGATCCTCACACTTAGCAAGAAGGTGCCCACAGCAAAGAGTATTTTTGCCTCTCCTCAGGTTCTCACCCCTTCGGGCAACATGCACTTATTGCTCAGTGCCCGAAGGGAACCAAGAGCCAAAAACCATCTCTTATCGACATGTCCAATTTTTCAGAAAAGTACAGATGAAAAGAAAACTGATCCAGAGTACTTTTAGAAATTTAAATTCCCCTATTAACATAAACTGTTACTGTGGTACATTTGTCATAATGAAGTAACACTAATGTTTCACTAGTTTCGCCCTCATGGGATGAAGAGATATGGAAGAACTGAGAGTCACTCTTATGAAGAGATTAAAAAGTAAAATTCTCCAAATCAAATAAATTCTGGGCAGCAAAGACAACAGATGTTCTAATGAACACCAAAAAGCAAAAAAATTACGGGCCATGAACTGGGATCATTATGAGACTAAATTTTGAGTGCTGTAATTTTAAGCTGTTTGCATTAATATTGTCAACATTAAAACCTTTCTGCCTGGTAATGGGGGGGAGTAGGTAAGGGGGGGCAGGGAGAAATGACCCAAATATTGTATGCACATATGAAAGAAGAAAAAATTTAAACAATAAATAAAACCAGAAACATAAAAGAAATTATGATCTAATTAGGAACACTCTAATAAGACTATAATAACTTGTAAATTAAGTACTTATCATGTACTACTATGGTGGATGCTAACAAATCCCTTTTGAAGAGCTAAAGCAGGGAAACTTTTGTGTTTCCAAGTCAAAGTCAAAGGGCAGAGCCAACAGAAGTGGCAGAGAAGTAGGTTTATTGGCTTCTGATGGATTACTTTTGAGAAATCATGAAAAAGGAGAAAAAAAGCATGAAGTTGGTGGTGTGGGACTGAGAAATAGTCCTGGCGATTCTTACTTTCTTCAGACACCCGTCATCTGCCCTCTCACTGAAACACCAGTTTCTAGCTGGCCCTTAAAGAACCAAAAAGTCCTCACCAGAGACTTTATGCTGGAATCCTAACTTCAAGTGTTTTGGTTGCCTGTGGGTATGGAGATGCTAGGAAAGCATTCACATTTCACGTTAGCCTGCTTGGGTTCTTGAAACCCTAACTTACACTGTTGCATTTCTTCATTAAGACAATTGACTAGTACTGTATTCCCACTAGCCTTGTACTATCAATAAGAAAAAACAGGGAAAACAGGCTTTTGTGAAATTAAGCACTACATGGAGCACCGTTTCTGGGGAAAAGGCAAAGTTCCAAATAGCCAGTGAATGAGCATCATACCATGCATCCTATTTGTTAACTGGAGACTGCTTATAAACCTTCCCTTTGCACACACAGCACACATTGTCATATGAGCAAAACCTTTTTAAGTGTAATGAAAAAAAACTTTACAAAAACCTGGCAAACCACCACCTCAAACAAGAGACCAAGGCTAGCTAGCATCAGTGACAGCATACAGTCTTGATATGAAGAGAATGGCATTTAACTTTGTGGACTTCTTACCAAGAACATAACACCAATGCACCCATTAAAAGAAAAAGAAGAAAAAACCTCAGATAAACCCAAATTGAAAGACATTCTCCAAACACTTGGTAAGTACTCCTTCAAACCATCAAGATAATTAAAATCATGGGAGGTCAGAGTAATTCTCCCAGAGCAGTAGAGACATAGAGGAGACCTGAAGGACACATTAGAGACCAGCAAAGGAAAGACAGAAATACAGTACACAGCCCAGACACAGGTGTGGGCACATCTGATAACAGGTGCAAAGACTGCTCTAACATCAAGGATATTTATGGTGCAAAAGTAGAATGGGGACTTGACCTTAATTTACCTTTGGATGAATGTTCCCCCTTTGTTCTAGACACATAGTACATTCTGTAACTCTTGCTGCCACACTGTCTTACCAGTAAGGCTGAGATTTTTTTAGGTTGGCCTGTTTATTAAATTTGGGGACATAATGACATGTTCCATACACAGAAATTTCTAAAGACTCTATGAAAAGACTCTTAGAACTGACAAATTAAGCAAAGTAGGAGGATACAAAATCGTATTTTAAAAAACAGTGGCTTTTTAATACATCAGTAATGAACCATGATAATGAAATCAGGCAAGCAAACTCATTTGCAATAGCCACACACACAAAAAAAAATAAAATACATGTGAATAAACAAAACTAAGGAAATGAATGACCTCCACAGTGAAAACTACAGAACACAGGGAGGGAGGCAAGATGGCAACTTAGTGACACCATAGGCATTTGTTCTTGCAGGTGCACCTTACTCAACAGTAATCCTTGCACAGCATTCCCTGCAGAACTGCAAGGAATCAACACCCAGAGGCAGAAGGTAATCATGGCAGTGAGGATCCACAGACCACAGACCTAGAAACACCAGCCCAATGCCCAAAAACCACAACTCAATGAGCCTGATGCATGATCCCCTGCCATGCCCACAGCCTGATGTGGGCCCAGAAGCCACAGCCCACTGAGCCTGGCCCTCTGCTGCACCCAGAAGCTCCTGTGATGTGCTTCACCAGTGCTGCTCTCTGCACACAGACCATGCAGAAACCCAGAACCCCCCATGCCATGCTTCCATCTGATGTAAAGACTGTAATGTTACAGAGAAACCAGTCTGAAAGAACAGGCAGCAGACTTCCTTTCAGCATCAATCTTAAACCATATCCTCTTCCCTTTCCTATTACCCATTCCCAGTTTATGCTCCTCCTCTGTACAACTAGAACTACTCTCAGGGTTTCTTCTGTTTACCTAATCCAATCCTTCTTTGTTACCTATAGTTTTATCTGGTACATAAATTGCCAGGTTCTCTTTTTTTGTTGTTCTTTTGTCTTTGGTTGGTTTTATTTTTGTTTGTCTCTTGTCAGAGCCAGCAGTGGGACCTTGCCTGTGTGAGTCGGCATTTGGCCTTGTGAAAAAGCTCCAAGGAACTGGGGCAAAAGTCTCAGACCAAACTGTGCCTATGTGAGTTGGCATCTGACCTTGTGAGAAAGCTCCAAGGAACTGGGGCAAAAGTCTCAGACCAGACCTTGCCTGTGTGAGTTGGTATCTCACCTTGTGAGAAAGCCAGATGTCCAGAAAAACAGTATTCAAGGTTCCCAGATGGCTTCATGTCCTTCAGATGTAAATAAGAAAGTTATGCTGTCCGTGTGCTTCTCCTGCTTCTCTGTCATTTTAAAGGAGGCATAACAAAGAGTTAATTTTAACTATGCTTCCCTGTACTAATGCAACATTGACATGTAATATTTATTTGGCATGCTTTTTCTGACCAAATGCTCTCTGTGTAAAAGGAGTTTATAAAAAGCAATGTATACTTCATTAAATTGGCTACTGAGAAGGACTCAGTAGTCCCCTCATCTTTTTACAGCTTCAGTCACCCAGGTTCCGCTGGTAAATGGCATTACAGTCTCTCTGTTAAATTTTCCCCATTTCTCTTTCTCCTCTCTTCCTCACACAATATTAACTAGACTTCTTCTACCTATCTCACTCTACTTTCTCATTAACCCTTCTATTAATCTTAGACAACACCGCTTTCTGCCACATAAAATTATATACCTACAGTATTCATTGCCCTCCCATTACCAGTCTTAGGACCTTGACTCTTCCTAGATCACAAATATTCATCTTTGCTCCTACACAACTGAAAAGCAGAAGCAATAACTGTTCTTCCTTAGGAGTTGCCGTAATCTCAAGGCTGCAATTTACCAACAGCTAAGCTTCCTCTCCCTGGATAGAGCAGGGTGTGGCACCCTGCATTCCAAGAATTAAGGCTGAATGTTTGACTACTGAGCCATATGACCACCCCAAGTCTAAAGACAAGAAAATACACCATGACTCAGACACCATAGAGCCTTAAATAATCTTTGAGAAATTGCTAACTAAATGGACACAGATTGAAACAAAAAACTTGGCCTCAGATGCAAAAAGAACAAATTCCATGAAAAAACAAACCAATATGTCGCCTCTAAAACCAACAATTGCAAAATAAAGAGGATGGAATCTCAACCAATGAATTAAAAAAGATAAGAATGATCAATGATTAGCTCAAAATCCCAACTAAAAACCTCAATCTAAAGTTTTACTAACAGAGTGAAGCATGTTGAAAATAAACTGTAACAAAGATTGAAAATAAAGTAGAGGAATCAGATTAAAAACAATGAAAAACATACTAAGAAAACATAAATGGAGCATGTAAGCCCTCTGGGACACCATCGAAAGACCAAACCTACAAATCACAGGTATAGAAGAAGAGATACAAACTATAGGTATAGATAATTCATTCAGTAACATAATAGCAGAAAACTTCCCAATGTTGAGAAAGGGATGGATGTCCACTTACAAAAGTCTTTAAGACAGCAAATAGGCAAGAGCAAAAAGAAACATTCCCCTAAACATGTTACAGTTAAAACACTAAAAATATAGAACAAAGAATATGGATAGCTACAAAAGAGAAGCAACAAGTCACATATAGATGCAAACCCATCAGAATAACAACAGATTTCTTGACACAAATTCTAAATTCAAGGAGCACAAGGAATGATGTATTTCAATCCTGAAAGAAAATAACTGTCAATGTAGGCTAGTCTCTCTGGCAAAACTATCCTTCCTGATTGAAGAAGAAATTTAAAAAATCTTTTACAATGGAGAAAAACAAAGAATTCATGACCACCAAACCAGCACTGCAGAAAACTCATAGAGAAATTCTACACATAGAAGAAGAATGTAGGTGCTGCCAAGAAAATGCAAAAAGAATAAACCCCACTAGCCAAGAAAATTAGCAAAATAAGGAAAAAAAATCAGAAAAACAGAAAAATGATGAAAATACTACATACTCCTCAATATTAACACTGAATGGGTTTTTTGGAAGCAAAACTGGATTTTTATTTCATTAGAAGTGCTTAAAAGTGACAGGGTACCGTAGCCAAGGGCAGGAAGCACCTAAAAGTTTGTGTCTGCAAAGTGTGGCACATCCATACCTGGAAATCTTATTTAGCCTTGAAAAGGAAGGAAATTCTGACACATGCTACAATGTGGATGAATCCTAGGACATACAGTGTTCAGTGAAATAAGCCAAACCTAGGACAAATACTGCATGAGTCCACTTTCATAAGGTCTGTAAGGTGCTGGAGTCCCAGAATGGGGGTTGTCAGGCACTGGGGGAGGAGGGAGCCTTGCTTAAACAAAGCTTCCGTTTCACAAATATGAAGTTCCAGAGATCTGTCCCTCAGCAGTGTGGCTGTGCTCAGTGTCTCAGGACTGGGCCAAGTGGCCATGGCAAATGTTATACTATGTATTTTTTCCAATTTAAAATAAAAAAGTGATGGAGGAGTTTTATCTGAAAGTACTTGAAATTGTATTCTTTGCATCTATTGAAGCCTATGAAGAAAAAAATTGAGGTGTTAATTTCAAAAGAGTCAGCAGGTGAAAACCTTTCAGGGTCTTTCCAAGAGGCTCAAGTGGAAGGCTCAAGTCTCAGCCATGAATGACCTCCA